GGGGGGGGGCTGAAGGGTTGCGTTGCACCAGATACGCCACTGCGGGGAGGGCTGTGTGGCTTTGGCCTCCTGCGGGCAACTTGCCCCTCAGGGCGTCATGATCTTATTCCGAGTCTCTTTCGCGCTTTGCCGAGCTTATGGCGAAGCGCTCTTCCGAAGCCTTGAAGCAGCGTGACGGGGCACTCGAGGGCGTTTTGCAGACGAGCGATCCGCGACTGCCGCTGGCTGGCACCGTTTCCTTGCACCCCCCCCCCCCCACACACACACACACCATAGCTTTTTGAACTTGCCACATACACTTGCGTGCTGCCATCTATCTCCGCCCAAAATACATATTTTTGATTTTTTTTAAATTCTTCGGTTTACTTATAGTAGAATGGAAATATTATTTTAAGAATATTAAAGAACAGTGAAACCGGGTCCTAATTGGCAATTTTCTTTGAACAAATTTGTAGCCCTTTTTAAGAAAATGGCTCTTAAGCGTTACAGTACATTCGAAATTTGAAGCACTTTTTCACAGAAAAGTTTTGAGATTAGGAAAAACTACATTAGAATTCATTTGAAGCACATTAACTCACAAATACAAAGGTGTTTACAAATTCCTGGAAATGTGCATATTACCGGCGTGAGAGATATTTTAAAATATATAATTGTATGTGTAAACAAAAACAATAAAATGCCCAAAATGGACTTTACGTCACATTAAAGAGTGCAATTAGCACTATTTGTGGGAAAATTTTGAAGAAAAAAATTGAAGCTGTTTTTGAGAAAATTGCGTTTGAGCGTTTCTGAAATTGCGAAATTTTGAGCTAGTTTTGACAGAAAACGATTTAGTTTCGAGAACCTTCATCTGATATTGTTTAAATCACATGTACTCATAAATATTATAAAGAGAGCAAATAGCTTCTAATGTTAATATTAACGACGTGAGAGACAAGTCAAAAAATTACAATATTGAAATTTTTGAAAAAAATAAAAGAATAGAGCAATATGACGTTTGTCATTTTATAGAGTGCATTTAGCACAATTCCTACCAAAAATTTATAGAAGAAATATGGATCGGTTTTTGAGAAAATCAGGTTTTTGTATTTTTTTAAAGTGCATTAATTACACGCAATATTGCACGAAAACTACTAAAATTTTCAAAAACAAAAAAAAATGTACAAGACCTTAATGAAAGAACAAGTTGTGTCCAACAAGTTTTATTTAAAGACAAAATTTCCCCGGAAAAAATTTAAAGTTTTGAAATTTTTGAAAATTTAGAGTTCACCGTGAAATAAGAGATATGCCACATTTATAAGTGTATTTTACTGTATTCTTACAAGAAGTTAAAAGAAAAAAATGTTTGAGAAAATATTGAAAATGTCCCATGGGTTTCATGTAAAGTATCCCGAAAAACTAATGAATGATTTTCAAAATCGCAGGGCTTTGACTCAGGCTAAATGGACAGGGGTTTCTTCAATTTGGAAAACATCCTTCGATGGGATTAGGCACACGTGTTGTTCACATACACCACACGGACGGACGGACGTTTTGAAAAAAACATTTTTTCGGCATCAGGGGACCCCAAAACGTGTATTTCCGTTGAAATCTCGAATTCGATTTTCCGCAGCATTACATAACTTTCCCTATACTATGCATATAATACTCAGTATATACATACGTACATTGGAAAGTAAAAATTGGATTGCTTTTCGAAAGTTTTAAACTTTGGAATCTTTCAAGTTTTTAATATATAGTCTGTAAATGGTATTGCTTCTTATCGCGTTAATTTATTTAATTACATCTTATCTAAAGTAAAAGCATGATTGAGATCAGTTTACTCCGAAAGGTATGAAATAAGTTGTGGAACATATTCTTAGTTTTAATTCCAACATACTACATTCAACAACAGTCCGAACTATGTACCAGGTTAACTAGAGGCTATAGCCAGAAATAGTTCGAGGTGGAACGTTTTAGTTTGTGTTTTAAGCATGTTCTCTTTTAAAGAGAATGTTTACATCGCTTTGGGAACTGATTTATATATTTAAAACACATGTGATCACAAAATTACATTGTTTCGATGTGATCTCATCTAAAACAATGTAATCGCTTCCTTCTATTCATTTTCTAAAAAGTTTCATGCCATATCGTATTCCCAGGCACCCTTCAGTGAATCGCTTAATATATTTGAATGACTATTTGCGCGCTGACCGGGCCATTGGCACCTCGTTCGGACGTCTCCCACGCGCGGCGACGGCGGCTCCGAATGCGCTCCTATGGCGTTTTCCGCGCGCAATTGGCGTGCGGTGCGCGTCAGCCGCCAATTTTAACCCAGAAGGCCCGCTGCCCCCCGCCCGAGCCTAATTGGCCCCTGGGCCTCCGCGGCGGGGGGG